AACAGTCATCCTACCTCAGCCTCTCGAGTGCTGGGATTACAGGTGTGCGTCACCACTTCCGGCTCTATTAGCACATTTCCATCATCTTCACATTGCTTGTGAGGAGTTGCTACATGTACATAACACAACCCAATTCTTCTTCCATTCCCTTCTCTACCCCTTCCCTCCATCTCTGGTCCCCTTTCCATCTGAGAAAGATCTCTCTCTATTTCCTATCATCTGTCTTTTATCTTGTTCTTTCTTTGTATTTTAGTTTTCTCATAAAAGAGAAACCACACAATACTTAAGCTTGCATGTCTGGTTTATTTCACTTAGCATCATTCTCTGAAGGTTCATCCAGTTTCCTATAAATGGCTCGTTTATTTTTCTTCATGGCAGAGTAATACTCCATTATGTATAAATACCAGATTTTCTTTATGCATTCATCTGTTGAGGGACATATAGATCTCTTCCAAGTTTTAGCTACTGTGAACTGTGCTGCTATAAATATGGATATTCATGTATCACTGTAATATTTTTGTTGTGGTTTGTGTCTGGGTGTCCCCCCAAAGCCTCAGGTGGTCATGGGGCAGGCTTTTAGAGTTTGATTGATTATGGGTGTGAGAGCTACACCCACCCTGGGTTGGATAGTTTGCATATATAAGAAAGAGGAAGAGGCTTCTTGTGGCCATTCCTCCCTTTTTTGTGCTTGTTGCCTTTGCTGTGTTCTGCCGCCATGAGCTGTAGCCCTCTGCCATGTGCCGCTCTGCCTTGTAACCTGCCAAGTATGGACTGAAACCTCCACAAACTGTAAGCAAAATGAACCATTCCTTCCTTAATTTTGGGCATCAGGTATTTTAACCCAGCAAAGAGAAAAAAGTAACCAAGACAACTGTGTCTTTACCTCTTCCAGGAAGATGTCTAGAAGGGGAATTGCTATATCAAATGGAGTTTCTAGTTTTAGTTTTTTGAGGAATCTCCATAGTGACTGTTGCATATATTTCTGAATCCCTTTATAATGATTCAGAGATGAGGTGGAGGCATGTTGACCACTATCTTGTGGACCATTGTATCATTACCACACATCAACAGTGACTCTTGTTTCAACTACTTTTGGGATAATTTCACAGCAGTGAATTGCAAAAATT